AACAAGCCCGATGTGAAGAATGCTTCTCACAGGTCACAAAACGGTTCCCTGGGGGAAAGTCTGAGATGGACCCCTATCGAGAGGAGCTCGGCCTCCACTCTAGAGAAGTCTGGAAGAGGAGGTCAAGAGTTAGTCTCAGAAACTCACACAGGCAGCTCTACCCTGTCCTATCGGGTCACTGTGAGTCGGCATGGACTCACTAGCAGTGAGTCTGGAGTTTGATTTTAGCTTCAGAGACAGGAAGGAATACTCTTGAGTAGGGCCAATTTCAATGCCAGCTGTGGAAAAAGTGACACTTCCCTTTGCATTTGGGACCCTCCCAGGCTTTTCTTTTGCGGGCATGCCTTTTGCTGTAAGAAAACTGTAACAAGTGTAGCATTTGCCCCAGTTCCGTGAGTGCTTCTAAGAAATCACCCAATCTGAGCGTGACGATGGGCACCTCCAAACTTGTAACCAACCGGCCTGAAGTAAGGGCGGCTGGGGAAGCCCTGCACTTGCACCTGGTACGTGAGGGGAGGACAGTCTTGAGAGGCAGTGCTTATGGACAAACTGACTGCAGAACTACAGAAAGGGGAGCTTTAAAAAAGGGAAGGACCCGCTGGTGAAGACTCACTGAGCACCCCCAACATATGAATATGATGGGGAACTACGTTCTCGTGGTCTTCAGGAGGAAAAAATGGTATCTTTATGTGTGACAGGACAACTTAAGTGACAGCACTACGAGAGACAAACTCATGCCATCTGCATATACTTGGGTATATTTGAGATAGGAAGAGAAAAAACACCCCCAACAGTTGCTTCTTTTCAACTCAACTGGTGTCAACCATCGTGATCTGAGGTGCTTGACTGAAAACCAAAATGTAGCATCAAAGAAGCCAAAGACAGAGTTACCAGTGCTCAACCCTTCAATAGCTAAAACTTTTATTTTTTCTACTCATTGTGCATAGGCTGAAGAATTAAAATGCACACCCTCAAGTTCATATATGGAGCCTAGGAGTATATCAAATAGATATCATACTTTTCAGCAAAGTCATGGCACACCTTCTTGGGACAAAAAGATGTTAACAAAACCAAAGGTAACTGCTTGGCAGCAAGTAGGTTTGCACCCGGCCCATGACTGTGAAGACAGTACACAAAGGCTTTACCATGGATTCTAAGAGAAAATTAAAACAGCAATAGGTAACATCCAATCCTTGTATTATGGTAGGCTCTTGAGAAAAAATGACTAGGAACTACATTTTCTAACAGCCATTGCACTCCCCAGCTAAAAGAATCCTATAACAATGGAATTTGGTAGGAATTTAGTAGGGTTTGGGGCTATTTTCATTTAGCAAATTAATTTTGCCAACAGGCTGCAAAGAAAGGATACCGGTGGCACAATGGTTAGGCATTCAGCTGCTAAATGAAAGGCTGGTGGTCAGAACCGACCAGTCACTTCACGGGCTTTCGAAAGGCCCGGTGATCTGCTCCCACGGAGAATGCAGCGTCAGAAACTCTATGGGGCAGTTCTGCGTCAGAATTGACATGACTAGACTGAGCACAATAACCACAAAGCTAAAGACAACGAGATCATGACCATAATATACTCGACAAGTTCTGTGACAATTATTCATTTTTTAAATGTCTTAAAGGAATAGGTAACACTACTCTTTCCACCACCTCTATCAGAAGTCCTTAAGCTGGGCTCCCTGACTCCTGCCTGCATAAGGTGCACAAAGCCCAGAGAAGTAGAGCCACCTGTGTGCACGCAGAGGCAGTGGCCAGGTGGATATGGCATGGGGAAGCTGTTTACTTTTGAGATGGGTTTTCAGCTCTGGCCCCCGAAGTTTTCCCTGTCACAGACCACAGGCAGGAAAACAATATGAAAATCAGACCCCACAGTCTAATAAATGCTCAGTATTAACATAGCCAAGTCTTAACATAATACTGTTATGAAGATGCTACCAGTAATGTTTTTAAAATAGACCTACACTAAGGTGACCAGACGTCCCGCTTTTGGCAGGACAGTCCTGATTTTTGGCAATTTTAAAAAGTTCCGATTTTTGGAAAGAATGCATGACAAGCTATTTGGTCCATATAGACCAAATTTTTAATCAAGAACACACACACACACACACACACCTCCCAGTCAATGGTGTCCCGCTTTAAATCTGGTCACCTTAACCCAACCCTTACATTTCAACACGGTCAGATTCCAAAGAGCAAGTGGTTAATTCGAAATTAACTCTCACACATGGTGTGAGAGTTGTAGGCTGTCGTCCACTGGCTCACTGACAGTAGGTGTCTTGGCACGTTGTGAAGAACATATGGTACTCTGGGTCTCCCTTCTCCAGCCCTGCTTAGCTACAGTTGAAGGCGGTGGAGTGGAAGCTGGGTATTGTCTGTCTGTCACCTGCCCTGGGCAAGGACCTTGTTCCTTACCTGCCCACTGCATTCCCTGAACAGGGATCCTGGCCTTCCTTTGTCCAGCTCAAGCTCAGTCACTCAAGGTCCCCTTCCCACCGCCCTTCTTCTCATCTCCCCTCAGCATCTCTCAGGCACCTTCAGGCCCTCTGCTGGCTTCATGCTGCCTGTGTGCAAACTCACCTCCAGCTGCCATTGCCCTGTACTGCCTGTGGTTGGAAGGAACATTGGGAGCCTATCAAGGATTGCAGCCTGTGGCCTGTAGCACAGTTTTGTGTAGCGACTGAGGACTCCAAAATATTGTTCAAGGTGGCTGGGGGGTGGGGGGGGATTCAGTTAGGGGACAGGCATCTCAGGTCCAGTCACAGCCCCACGTGGGCCCTGGACCATCAGAGGCATTGTCTGAGACATTTCCCAGAGTCCTCATGAATGTGAAATGTCAGGTAATGAGATAGTCGCTAAGTGAGGAGTAAGTGTAATGACAATTCCTATGTAATTCCTCATCAGTACGCATTACAATATCGACTGTAAAATGTCTTACCGTCCAGAAGACAATCAAAATGAAGGCACTGCAAGTACTCCCTCTCTCTCATAAAGCCGTTCAGAGGCGTCGCCCAACCTTCTGCCAAAACCTGCACCCACTGCATGTCCACCTACCAAAGGAAAAAGCACTGTAAAACCCTCCCTTTCGTGTACTTGGGAACAAAAGCAGAAATAGCCCTCAGAAGTTTCAGTTTTGAAAGCAGTAAAGAAAAGCATCTTATGAATGATGATAAATTATTTGGAACCTTGAGGAAGAGGTGCAGCAGGCAAATAATATGCAATGCTACTCATCAATTTAAGTAACATTGAGCTTCCAAGTATTCCAATAAAGACAGCATCTCCTAAAACCAGTGGTTCTCAATCTTAAATGTCCATCAAAATGTCCTGCAAGGCTTGTGGAAACAAAGATAATTCCACCTCCAGAATTTCTACCTCAGTGGGGACGGCCTAAGATCGTGCATTTCAACAGGTTTCCAGGTGCTATGACTGCTGTATCTATCTGGGAGCCTTGCTTTGAGAGGGACTGTCCAAAGCCAAAGTAAAGGAGTCCATGCATGGGGCAACAGATTAACAGGCTCAGCTGCTAACGAAAGGTTAGGGGTTCAAGTTCACTCAGGGGCACCTCAGAGTACCTCTGAGGTGATCAACTTTTTGAAACATCAGCCACTTGAGATCCTATGGGGCACAGTGCTACCGACACACAAGCGGTCCCCAATAGTCCAAGTCAACACAGAGCAAGAACTCCATATAAAGGAATTTATGAACAGAGCACCCTTCCTTTTACAAAGTTAGCATTAGTTCATAATCCTTCAGAGTTTTAAAGAGTTAATGTAAACTGCATATATCGTGGGCTTTCTTAAACTGTCTATTTATTTGGAAGTGGTTCTCAAGTAAGAGGATGACGCATCTGACCAAGAGAGGCGCTGTAAAATGTAGCTTAGCTTTTATCCTTAAAATACGTTGGCCAATGTGTTCCACTGCAAAATCAAATAAAGGCAAGGCTGTCCTCATGTTTAGTTTTCTACAGGAAGAAAAATCACATTTATGAACCAAATGTTTTCATTTTCCTCTTGTTAAATCCAAAAAATCTTTAGCAATGGTCACCATTTGTCTCTATTAAAATCCAATTTTGGAAGGTATCTGACATAGCATGATTTTTTGTTAGTTTTTCAATTAATCACTGTTTATCCTGCTGGGCAAAGAAAAAGAGAGTGCCCTCCAGGAGTTCTACCAACCACCGTATTGAAGAAAGTTACTGTGTTCTGCAGTACAACTGACCTGGAAATTCATACCCACTCAGCCATTCACATCCATCCTCTACCATCATCCATCCATCCATCCAGTGTGTGTGTGTGTGTGTGTAAAATCATTCCAAAAACAAGCCTGCAGGATGGCTCGCCCATCTTCCTCCTTGGCCCTCTCAGGCATGAGTTGCCCTCTGGCCAAACACCCAGTCACCCAAAGCACATCATGGTAATTTTTCTTTTTCAGTTATCTGAATAATGATTTTGGTTTTCTCGCCTTTTCTCATTATAGCTGTCCGAGCTCAATTTGTTCCAAATTTGGGTTCAAACACCAAAGAGTTCAAAAACTGAACATATTTTTCCCGTAAGAAATCATGGAAAGCCAAGGAATTTGTTCTGAGGCCCCAAAATTGCACGTCTAAATTCAGTTTACCAAGGCTTTAAATCACATGGACATGGAGGCTTAACTTAGCCTTGCATATCGCTGTCTCGGATATGCTATGGCCATCAAGCTGTTTCTGATTTATCCAAATTAATAGTACCTTTTCAACCTCTTTCATGGTCTGTGTTCCTTGTTTCCTGGTTAACGATTTCACACATTTGGCTACGTTAGAGCGGCTTTAATCACCAACAACGTTGATAATGGAGACAGTGTCGACTTAGCCATGTTCGTATTCTCCGCCAAGTCAGACAAGCGGTGATCTGATTCAAATTTCAGTTTTCCTCGTAATTCTTCTGCTCGTCTCACTAACTTTCTTTGGAGCCATGGTTACGATATTTTAGGCAAATAAATCGCAAAAAATAAAAGGCACAATGACAAGCGTTTTAACGCACTGACATAAGAACTCCATGTTGCGTGAGTGAGAGTGGTGCTTAGGATACAGCATCACCCCTCTGTGTCTGAGGCGAAACTCACTCCCGGCCCTGGCAGGCTTTTTCAGGACGGATTTTCAGTTGGACTCTCAAACGAAGTTATGAACACCAAGTGGATTTTTCTCTAACTTTGGAATAGAAGAGCGTTGGAGCTGGGGGCCGATCACAGCCCAGCTTTCACCGAACTTGCAGGCTTGTTATGTCCATGGGCGGTTTTCACTATGTTAAGAAGGAAAGTTTGAAGATTTAATTTATAATTTAGGTGACTCTTTAGACTATTTTTAAGAGTCCGCTAGAATGACAATATTTAAAATTTTTCTAAGATTAAAAATAACATTTATAGCTTCCACTATTATAGGGCTTAGTTCAAGGAAATTTTTTATTGGCTGTTCTTAAAATTATAAAAAGATTAAGGAGCTTGTCAGGGGATAAAGAAATATGTTTAAAGAGAATAGTTCATTTTAATTATGCTCATTTGATTATTTAAATTGTTAACCAATTCATTTATGTAAGGGAAAATGTTCATTTTAATTATTTGTTGTATGGATTAGCCTTTAACTTATTTTTTGCATCTGTTTGTTCTTAGTAGTTTCGCTGACATACGGGTCACCTATTTATACTTTCCAACGGCTCAGTCACACTCGTAGGAGTTGCACATGACCACCACAGTCAAGCCCCGGGCCTTTCTTCCTCCTGTGCTCGTGGCTGTTAGCTCCGCATTTCCCACTAGCGTCCCCTGCCAGATCCCTTTGAATCTATTAATCCAGTTGTTTCTGTCGTTTTACCAATCTAGGAAGTCTTTTAAAATTCATTTCTTCGGATAAACCTAAAATCCCTACATTTCAATATGTAAAATTAATACTAAAAGTGCAAGAGGAGCCCTGCTGCCACAGTGGGGTTATGCATCGGACTACTAACTGCCAGGTCAGCAGTTCAAATCCATCGGGTGCTCTGTGAGAGAAAGATGAGACTTTCAACTCATAAAGATTTAGAGTCTCAGGGGGAGACGGGGGAGCTGATAGGACTGATAACTGTATAACCCCACTTGAGGGCAGTGAACAGAATTGTACGTAAATGGATATATTGGATGGGGTGAGATGCTGAAATAAATAAATAAGGGGTTCTGGGGGTTATGGTGAGGGAGGGAGGGGATAAAGGGGAGCTGATATCAAGGAGTCCAAGAAAAAAGAAAATGCTTTGAAAATGATGTGGTAGCAATACTGCTCGGTATGACTGTACTATGGAATGTTGTGAGACCTGTAAGAGCTCCCAATAAAATGATTAAAAAAAAAAAAGATTTACATTCTCGGAAACCCACGGGGCAATTCTGAGTCAGAACAGACTTGATGGCAGTGGGCTTTGGCTAAGGGGCAAAGTAAAACCAAGGTACTCTGGAATAATGCTTTCACAAATGGAACACATTCCCCAGCGCTAGAAACTTTGAGACACAATATAATGCTCCCACCATAACCATCCCTGATCTCAGACACTGCCGTGAATCACAAATTTTACAAACAAAAGATGACGCATATGACTGTATCACTTACTTTATTAATTTTCAGTGCTGGCAATGTTTCTGCGTCTGTTTTCGCCAAATGAAGTTTATTTTCCGGCACATACAGCTCTTTTACTTCGTAAGAGGCATCCACAGGTACAATGTCCTATACAACATCAAAAGTCCAGTAAGTGTTTGATTCAAATATTTAGAGTTCTTTAAAGGGTACCTGAATAAGGCAACCCACATTTCAAAATGAAACCCAGGAAAAGATAATCCAGGGGCTGTGAATATGCCGCCCCACCTAAGTCAACGTGTCAAACGGTCTGCTCACAAGAAGCAGACAATATCTCCCCCGACTCTCAGAAGAAAATCAACAGTGGCCTACTTTGCCACAGTAAAGAATAAAGGATTCACAACTACACATTAAACGTAACCACGTGACCCCAAATAAAACAGAATTTGAAAACAACCCAAAACACCCCACTCTAAACCTAGTTATCATTCTCTTTGACACGTGAAGAAATAACTTCATTTCAGCTCTTCAGACGCATCTTTGTCACAAGTGTCTTCATTGCCACTGGAGTCCCCATTTAGTGCTGCAACAGTGCTCTGGTTTGTCATGCTCACTTCCCCTAGCGGGGTTTGAGGAGCATCACTTTCTGATCCCATAAGAAGTCACCCATCTCACATATTAGAGAGCCTATAGACCCACACAGCACATCAGTGCTCTTCCCCCATTTATCCTACAAGTACAAATTTGTGATCTCACAAAATAACCGCTTACGCCTTGTGCTTCTTTGTAAAAGTAAAATTCTTCTGGTTAGTGAACATAGGCACTAATACAGGTCTTTTGGAAAAAGCAAATTTACACCAATCAGGGGATAGCAATGATCTCATGAAAAGCAGGGCCTATGTTAAAGCAGCTTCTCTGGCTTCTGAAAGTGCGGAAAGACTAATTCTCCCATCTATGGCAGAGGCTACAGGAGCCCTGGTTATGGGTTTGGCTGTGATGCTGGTTACAATTTCAGAAACCGACAGGGGTACTTTTACCCTGCCCTACAGGGTCGCTATGGGTCATCATCCACTTGATGGCAGTGAGAGGGAGAGAGATCTCCGAGGCTCTGTGTGCGCAAACCAAGGGAGCCACAGGTTCCCCATTAGCTAAACGGTCTTCCCAAACCAGACTCTTCTGAGAGTTAAAGGCAACACAGATAAATACTGTTGCAGACACAGTTCTACAGCAGTAATAACAATTACTTATGAGCAGATGCAAACTAAATAAAATTAGGGAGAAAAACGAGACAACACCCACAAATATGTACCTTCCTAGTGCCGCAACCCTTTAATAAAGTTCCTTGTGTTGTGATGACATAAAATTATTGTCATTGCTACTTCATAACTGTAATTTTGCTACTGTTATGAATCGAGCGACCCCTGTGAAAGGGTCGTTCAACCCCCAAGGGAGTCACGACCCACAGGTTGAGAACCGCTGGTCTGGAGGATATTTCTACATAGGAATTGCTATGTGCTGCTACAAATGGATCCACAAACACGGACAAGTCAGAATGCACTGCTCTAAAATCAAAGAAACCATCATTAAATTAAAATATGAAGAAACACTATTTCTCAAAATACCCTCCATCTAGGTCTATATAATTCTAAAAGTGGGGTTTCCATCTTTCTAGAACTTCTTCAAGGAATTCAGCGCTCTTCCATTTACACCAGATCAAAGTGAATTTTAGCATCTTGAGGGATTCAAATCATGTTGTTGTTACTGTTGTTGTTGTTAGGTGCCATGGAGTTGGTTCCAACCCATAGTGACCTTATGCACAACCGAAAGCAACAGCGCCCGCCATCCTCACAATTATTCCTGTGCTAGAGCGCATTGTGGCAGCCACCAGGTCAGTTCATCTCCTTGAGGGCCTGGCTCATCTTCACTGTCCCTCTTCCAAGCATGTCTTTCTCCAAGGGCTGGTCTCTCCTGACAACATGTCCAAGTCTGTAAGATTCAGTCTCTCCATCCTTGTCTCTTAAGGAGCACTCTGATCATACTAATCATGCTCCATTCTTTTACTTTTTTTTAAGTTTCAAACAAAAAAGTCTGAAAGGGTCAAATTGGGGCTCCAGGGTACATGGGTTAAGGCTTTCTAATGCAGTCTCAAAGTGCAATCGATCCTTGCTATCCTCAAACGATGAGCAGGTACATCACTACGATGAGAGAAAATAATTTCTCAGTACAACTTCTTCTCCCTTTTCCTACCAATGCAGTTTTCTACTTTTTTAGAATGTCTTCATAATAAAGTCCCATGATTATCTTGTGTTCTTTGAGGAAATCTATCAATATTTCCCCCTTTGAAGTCCCCAAAAACAATAATCATAACCATCTGAGCTTGATCTCTCTGCCTTGAATTTAGCTCCCCCTCCCCGATTCCTCCACCCCCTACCCCCACTAGGCACACTGACAAGTGTATTAGTGATAGAATGTCTGCAGCCATGCAGAGTGCAGAGGCATGTTTTAAAACGCCTTTTGTTAAGGACAAACCTAAGCCATGTACGGAATGAGAGCCTACTAGCAGTATCTTCCAGAGCCTCTTAAGCTTCCAGGAGGCACCCATGTGAAAGGGGAGGGGGTATAAACCACCTTCACTGCCTTGATTCTGATCCCCACAGTAGATTCTGATCCCCAGCGCCCCTATATAAGCTTTCCAAGACTGTAAATATTTATGCAGCAGACAGCTTCATATTTCTCCCTAGGTGTCGCAGTCCACTGCCAACACCTACCCCACAACACCCATTTGCTTTCTGAGAATCAATACTACATGATGGCGTCTTCAAGAATATTATGGAAGGAAGGAAGTTTCCACCAACTGCCTCTACTCTCTTTTTGTAAATGCAAATACTACATAGCCTTGTGCTAATTGGGACAGATCATTTCCAATGAGCTCAAGTTAAAGAAGACTGGCCTTAAAAACTTTGCCAAGGAAACTGAAGAAATGTCAAGTGCATACAAACAGTGTATACATAGTACTTGATTCCATTATTCATCCAAAGAAGAACACATACAAAACAGAGTCTTGAATCATTTTTCAGAGTGAGAGACATAACTTACCCCAGGCATTAGTTGAACACATTTAATTTATAAAATAATAGCAAAGAGAAGGTAGAAATGGGAAAAACCAATCACGCTACGTGTATTGCTGTCACTGCTGCACATTCCCCCTTCCATCCATAAGCACCTTAAGACATTAGTTTCAGGAGCCTGTACAAAGCCTGTTACTTTTTGGACTAGAAAATAAAAATCCAGAATAGACTTTTCCTGCAAGCACCGTGGGAGCTGCACACACACTGCGCCCGCGCAATCACCCTCCTCTGCTGGGTATGTGAGGCTGCCAAAGAGGCCTTGAGGTAGACAGACTCTTTACAGCTGCAAAATAATAAACCGAAATGCCCCACAACTAGGAGAGAGGCTAAAAGCAACTGAAATTACACCCAAAAAGGCAGCAATTAGGACTTTTGTGAGGAAGATACAATTTCATAAAACAGGCTTGCAACTTTAATATTTACATTAATCATAAAAAACATTACAGCCACAAATTTTTGAAAACCATCTCCAGAAGGCCAGTCATTTCTACCGCCCTTACAGTTATTGTGAAGTAAGAAAAGATGATTTCCATACCTAAGATCTAAGCTGAAATTGTAATAGGTATGTCTGAAGGGGTCTGCCACTCAATTTCTTAATAAGCAACAAGTAAAAAGGGCACTACAGTTGTTATGACAATCAAATATCTCGAAACTGAGGTGGTTAACATAACCTGGGTATCTGCTACACCAAGCACCTATCTGAAAGCTTCATATAAATGAGCTCATTCAATGTGCCTTGAAGATATTGGAAACCTGTAGCAGTAACTTGGGGCAAGGTATTAACCTTTTGTGGGCCTACATTTTATCACCCTTGCCCAAGTCCCTCCTATGCTGCTGCCCTAAAGACCTTAACACCCAACAACTAATGGATAATAATTAATAATTACAGTACACTCGCCATCTGCCAGGCCCTGTTCTGAGTACTCCACCTGTATTGGCTCATAGAATCCTCGGTAGAAGTTTAAGGCAGGTACTGTAAATTGGGCTAACTGCAAAGATAGCAATTCAAAAGCAACAAGTGCTTTGCAGGAGAAAGATGAGGTTTGGTTCTCCGGAAAGAAGTTGTGCCCTTGGAAACCCAGAGGGGCAGTTCGCCCCTGCCGTACAGGGTCACGAGGAGTCAGACTGGACCCTGTGGCAGCAAATACAGTAAGCTGTTGTTGAATTTCCCATGTCACAGATGAAAGAATGAAGGTCAGAGAGTTAGGTTAGTTTTTCCACTTATTACTGTTGGTAAGTGTTGGGGCTGGCATTCTAGCAAGGTGCAACTAATTATTCTTCTTCCCAGAAAAAAACCTTTACTGGTTGTCCCTGAAAACCAAGTGTTGTGTCACACAAACTGTTCTTATTTTCATGACGTGATCATTCCTCATTCCCAAGGCTGTGGGTCAGTTTGAGATCTTTCATTCATGTGTTGACAAAATCGAACCCAAAATGAAGAAACCAAACATCCCAGCTAGGCCTGAACGCGTTATTGAACAGCCCTGAGCCACTCTCCAGCAGCACTGTCCAACGCTGCCACCGTGGTCTACGCCCAGAGCCTCCGTTTCCACCTCTGTGCACCCTGACAACGATGCAAGCCAGAATCTGCAGTCTGGGAAGAACTGTGGCCTAGGGACCTCAGGGGAGAAGAGAATATCATGCTCAGGCTCAATGAGAAAGAACAACCTTTCACCGGCACTTTCACTGAGTCCTCAGACACCTACAATGTGGTCAGGGAGGAACGCTTCATTTTGTTGGGGGGAGGTCTGGCTACTCTTCCCCTCTCCCACATGGACTGATGCCAACTGTCGATAATCTTGGTTCCTTTCAAGAAGGGAAGTCACAGGGAAACATCTAATCCTTCTGATCTCTGTTGGAGGCAACAGGACACTTGTTGCTGATTCCCCAAACCAACGTGACCACCGGAGTCAACTCGCTCCCAGCCACTGAGGAGCATCAGCCATGTGCGCTGCTGGCAGCTCCGCTCCAGGCCCGGGGCTGGCTGT